TTAAAACGCCTTACTTTACATGGTCGTTTTTTTTGTCGCCTTACTATACATCAGTCGTGTCCAACATAGCCAGCAAGGAGGTTTGATCAGGCCCGCAGGATCATTTGAAAGTGAAAAAATGCATAAAAGACACAGAATGAATATTTTTAATCAGTTGCAATTCAATTGGCTTTTGTCTGCCGTGCGCAGGGGGCTGCACGTGGACCATCCTCCGCGTCGACCGCCTCCGGGCGACGGCATCAGCTACGTGCACGGCGCATCGGCCGTCTCGCTGCTCTCCACCACGATCGGCCAGAGCCTGGACGCCGCCGCCCGACGTTGGCCACAGCGCGAAGCCGTCGTCTTCCTGCAGGACGGCGTCCGCAAAACCTTCCAAAATCTTCAGCGGGACGTACGTCTGCAACGACTTTTTGGTTTCTCTTTTTTAGCATCACGCTGCCGGCCGCCTCCGCTAAAAGCGGCCACTCCTGATCGTTCAACATAACATTCATTCCTATTCCTGAAATGAAATCATTCACAAATCTCAGAATTCAGTTCCATTTTTTCTGCTTTCTAGGGAAAAAAAATGAGGTAGGCCATTATTTTCGGAGAATTATCGGCCTACGTGATCATCCAAAATAAAGGAAAGGTTCCTTCAATATAGACGGAGAATTCGAAAAAAAAAAAAAAATTTTAAGCCGCTTTGGATCAAGTCGGGGATTTTGACGGCAACGCCGTTTTTGATTTGGTGGCTTTGAGCTGCTGCAATTCAAGTCTGGCGCCATCTAGTGGGCGATCGGTGTTGCTGCTGAGTTTAATTCATTAATCGAATCATTTTTGGGGGGGGGGGGCGTGGAGTCAGTTCTCTCATGTAGCTCGCGTTGAGTCAAAGGTGAAACTGAAAGGACTTTTTTCTCCTCATCTCTGACAAACAGCTTACATCATCTACTTGTGTATTTCATTTGAAGTCAATACAGGCTCAGCCCCCCCGTACCCGTTCCCGGACGCTTTTGCAACTCCTGCTTTTGGTGCGCAGGTGGAGCAGGTGGCGGCGGGGCTCCTGGCTCTGGGCCTGCAGCCGGGTGACCGTCTGGGTCTTTGGGGACCCAACACGTACGAATGGATCCTTTTCCAATTCGCCTCGGCCAAGGCGGGAATCGTTCAGGTCAGCCTCGTCAGATGCGGTTCGCGTCACATGAGCAAGCGGGACTTTGAATTGCTCGCGCTTGTTACCTCTGCCAAGGAGGTGATCATTGCAAGACGACTGGAAATGATTGCTATCGCGTGGTTCGTATTTACGGACAAGAAACCGTGATTATCAACGATACGGCACGAATCCAAATGGTAACGTGTCTGACATTGCGTCTGATTGGGCAGAGAGAAAAAAAAAAACCAAACAGCCGCACGAACGATCGAATTGGTGACCGATGTGACAAGTGACGCGTCGTCCCCCGGCAGGTGTCCTTAAACCCGGCCTATCAGCTCAAAGAAGCGGAGTTCACGCTCAGAAAGGTTTGTCGCTTTTCACGTTGATGTTTTTACACGCGCGCGCGGCCGGGATGGAATTTGAAATGAACTGGGTCACGTTGTGCTTGCCGTCGTACCGCAGGTGCAGTGTAAAGCGCTGGTTTGTCCCAGCAGCTTTAAAACGCAAAAGTTCTGTGAGATGCTGCGGGAGCTCTGCCCGGAGATGGACACGTCGCCGCCCGGTGCCATCCGCAGCACCAGGTAGCCCGGGGGCGACCAAAGGATCAATTGTGGGACTATTACAAAACTATACAATACAACAACTGTTCATAGATACGCTTTGAAGGAGTTATCGATGAAACGGGGGAGAATCAAAGTCTCTTTCACCTGCGGATCAGAGACGTCATGCTCACGGCGCGTGACGTCACACTCGTCTGCTTCGAGCTAAGTTTGAAAATAAACGATAGCGTCCATTGACGAATAGAGATTGGTTCAATTCTCCTTTCCCCTTTAAATCCGCCGCAATTCCAAGCTAAATACTGTCGTTGGATATTTTCTCATAAAAATCAGAACTATCTCAGTCGGCACGTAACATCAATTTGAGATCAATTTAATGTTGAAGATTGGATTGTGAGGTCATATTGATGTCCAATGATTTTATTTATATATATTTTTTTTTTATTAACTCCGATAGAGGTTACAGAAAAATGTTGACAAATGTGACGCTTTCGAATGGCCCGCTCTGACCTGCAACGTGACGCACACCGCATGTGGGCTGGTCACTTCCTGAGGTGACCAGCCCTCATGCGGTGTGCGTGTGGGCAAAAAAAAAAAAAAAGGGAATTGAAACGAACCAATACAAGAAAACAACACAAATTCAGTCAGCACGCAAAGTTTGATACTGATCCATTTGTCAACATATTCAGTCCTACATTTGGACCCTTTTAGTGTGTTCGATTGACCAGTGGCACGGGGGGCGGGGGGACGTCACTACCCGCAATGGAGAACATCATGACAAATAATCAGAGAGGGGAAAAGAATGGAGCTTGCGGTTCCGATTATTCGCAGACTTTTTGGCTATTGGCGGGGCTGACCGGATCCCCGTGCCCCCCACCGACATCGGGGTCCGCTCCACTCATAAAGGAGCGTGACTAAGCGGCAACCTCCCTTCAGGTTGCCAGACCTGCGCACGGTGATCGTGACAGACAAGCGCGAGGCGGGCACGCTGCACGTGGACGACGTTTTCCAAGCGGCCGAGAGTCGTCACCGGCGCCGGCTGAGCGAACTCGACGGAAAGCTGTCGTGCGACGACGCCATCAACATTCAGTTCACCTCCGTGAGCCCGGCCGAGGTCCGCTTTGGGGGCGGGGGCGGGGCTCGGGTCGTGACCTCTTCACGCGCTTTGCTTTCAGGGCACCACCGGCAACCCCAAGGGGGTCACGCTGTCCCACCACAACGTGGTCAATAACGGCTACTTGGTGGGGCTCCGGGCCGGGTACGACTGGAGGGTACGTGCCCGTCGTTCATCCGCGCGAACGAAAAGTCAAGCGAGCGCCAACGAGCCGTCGGCCGTCTCGCCATCAGCCGCGGGTGCGGGTGTGTATGCCGGTGCCCTTGTACCACTGCTTCGGTTCGGTGGTGGGAGGCATGTGCATGGCCCTGCACGGCATCACGCTGGTCTTTCCCTCCTCCGCCTACGACAGCCGGGCCAACCTGGGCGCCATTCACCAGGAAAGGTGCCGGACGATTTGTCTTCTTCTAAGGGGGAGGGCAGCATTGTGACCGGGCCGTACGAATACAGTACAGTTCCACAAAACATGCATGCATCTCGATCGCAAACCCGTGCGTGTCACATTCACGACAGGATTTACTCAATAAATTGTTTGAAGCACCTTGACGGGGCTCGTCGAGCGTTCGCTAGCAAAGTAAAGTACAACCGAGGCTGTGGTCAGAGAGCGCATCGTGCAAGGATTCATGACAGATATGCAAAAACAAACAAACAAAGAAACCCCACGCTTGTGCTTGTGCTCTTCTATCATCGAAGGTGCAATTTTGTCTACGGCACTCCCACCATGTTCACTGACCTGCTGGGCCTGCCAGATCTGGAAAAGTCCGATTTGTCCTCAGTGGAAGGCGGTAAGTGGACCCCTGCCGCAATTTCCAACGCGTTCGATCCGGACGTGACGAAGCGCTCCGTCCGCGCTTGCGCTTCAGGCATCATGGCGGCGGCGCCGTGCGCCCCGGAGCTCGTGGCCAACGTGCGGGCAAAGCTGAACATGAAAGAAATCATGGTGAGCCACGTTATCGGGCGCGGCCGCGCACTCCCGTCATGGTGATGATCTCGCACGCGGGCGCCTTGAGCAGATCGGTTACGGCACCACCGAGAACAGCCCCGTCACCTTCTTGGGTTTCCCGCTCGACGACGACGAGCTCAAGCTCCACACGGTCGGCTGCGTCATGCCCCACGTGGAGGTAGGGGGGCTCCTGGGATTTCCAGGCCTTTCAAACACGAATTGGGAGTTTTCGAGCGCGCCACCCCGACGCCGGTTTGGGCCGTGTCGCCGCAGGCCAAGGTGGTGGACGTGGACACGGGCGAGACGGTCCCGCTGGGGGCCGCGGGGGAGCTGCTGATCCGGGGCAGCTGCGTGATGCGCGGCTACTGGGACGAGCCCGACAAGACCCGCCAGGTGCTCGGCCCGGACCGCTGGTACAGGACCGGGTGAGCGACAGATTTGACACCGGGCTACAAGCATTTTGGAAAACACTCACCTTCGGTTGCAAACTTGGCCAAAGTGTTTGATTCCTTGACAGCTTTCACATTTGAAGCCACGCTGCCTCAGTCCTGGAAAATACAAACGATATGAATAATTCGTACTGACCGAAAACGTCAAAGAAATGACACCCGCGTAAATGTGCACGAAAACAAACGGGTCTTCAAACATCGGCGGGCAAATGTTAGGCTAGTGATTGTCTTACGTACCACTCGAGGGAGCGCGTGTGGAACCAATTCCAGATTTGGCCCTCGTCTTCGTAGTCGGTGAGTGCGGCGCGCGGTCTCCCTCGAGCGCGCCTCAGTCATCGTGTTGTTTGCGCACGCAGCGACGTGGCCAGCCTCAACGCGCTGGGCTACTGCTCCATCGAGGGCCGCATCAAGGACATGATCATCCGAGGGGGGGAGAACATCTACCCGGCAGAGATCGAGAAGTTTCTCTACACCAATGACAAAGTGCACGAGGTGCAGGTATGAATTGGAAACGGGCGGGCGAGCCCGCGTTCTTCGCTTTCAGTTTTTGGAATCCGTCCCGCCGAGCCGTCGGCGACCGTCCTGGAAGATTCCAATTTGTCGCGTCCATTCGGATTTAAACGTCAACGTTGTCTCCGAGGTGGTGGGAGTGAAGGATGAGCGCCTGGGGGAGCAGGTGTGCGCTTGCATCAGGCTCAAGGAAGGACGAACGTGCACGGCGGAGGAGATCAGAACATTCTGCAAAGGCCAGGTGACGACGCGGACGCCCGACGGCATCGACTTTTCGGCCTCAACTTGACGGAACCGTTCTTTTCCCCCTCTTAGATTTCACACTTCAAAATCCCCCACTACGTGGTGTTTGTGGACTCCTACCCCATGACGGCCTCCAGGAAGGTAAGATGAGTGGGCAGGAAAAGCCTTCTGGACCGGCAGAGCTCTATTTGGGCGAGGCGGTTCAAATGGCGTGTCATGACGCCCCCCCCCCCCCAACACACACACACACACAGCAGCGGTGGTTGTTTTCAAGTGCTCTCGAAACACACTTGAGTTGAGTGTTTGAATGCGACTGGTCGATGGCGAACATGAACCCGACCCCTTGGTTTGCGGCGGATCCCGCTACACCGGCTGCTCTTTCCTTCTAGGTCAAGAAGAACGTATTGAAGGTGGACATGGAGAAGCACTTGGGCCTGTAGCTTGGAACCTCACCACCGCCGCAAGTCAAGCGCACAAAGGCGCACGGAGTCGCTCATGTCAATCTTTATTTATTCCCCAAAAAATTCAGATCATCCTGCAGTGGCTTCGACCACCGTGCACCATTTACACACATGCCGTACAAACCGGGAAATAATAAATAAAATGGGGAAAAAAACAAAAGGAGGGCTGGACCTCAATGAGGATGTCGTGCGGCGAAACCATTTCCAGGAACGCGCTTCAGTCACAGACGGTCATTTGGTGGCACGAAATGAGCATTGGCGACTGGGCGAGTTTGACCAGCTGCTTTTGCACCGGACTCCTGCCCGGCGGGCTCTCGCATTGACGCAGATGGACAATTCCCAACGTCAACCGAGGCCGATCGCGCCACGCAATCTTTCTTTGCTTCATTGCCAATATGCTCCTGTTGGATTTAAAGGGCCAGCTGCACCGATCGACGCCAGCGTGTCAAAGTGAGGTACATTTTCTCTCTCTCTCACACACACACACACACACACAAATAAAAAAAAAGACGCACTCCATGCACGTGCAGCTCGACCGCACTTTGGCTACGAAGCTCGGAACGATCAACATTCACTTCAGTCCTAAGTGTGGAGGTGGGCGTGGCAAGCCCCCGCCCATCTCTACGTGCGACAGAATACTGCATTGTTGTAAAGCTTCCGGTGAGATAAGTTAACGTGAAGGCGTCCCTTTTCGTTCAATAGAATACATTCCGAACAGGGGACCAAGTCGTGGAACTGTGCAAATCACACGGGGGAAATAGCGCGATCCCACGGGACCTTTTGTCATTCGGGGGGGGCCGTGTACCGCCGCCCTCCCCCCCAAAAAAAGACGTGGCACACGCGGGCATTCGGACAAAGCGCGGCGTCACGCGGATGGGATGGAAAGTCCCCAAAAAGAAAGACAAAAAACCCCAAAAAGACAGTTTGAGGCGCGTCCCGTCGTCAAGTCTCTTGTGCAAACACGCACGCATCCAACGCAACCGTCTTGCGTCCTCCGAGTGTCACACGCTCAGGGGCAGCAGGCCCGGCGGGGACACGGTTCTGGAGGTCAGGGGCCCCGGGTCCAGTCCGTTGACGGTGCCGCTGTCACACGGCACGGCAAAATCATTGACAAATTCGCTTTTGTGTGTGTGCTTATGTGTGTGTGTTGGGGGGGCGCTCACCCTTTGTCGAAGTAGGTGGTGTGCAGGGCGTGCGAAAACTTGGCGGCGTTGCCGTTGACGAGCGCGCCGTTGTCCGCGACCGGGAGGCTCTTTTTGGCCGCCTGGTTTTTGGCGAAGCTCCTGCAGGCGGCCAGTTTGGACTCCAAAGCCTGACGAGCGAGAAAAAAAAAAAAAACGTTTGCCGCCATTCGTGAGCGGCAAGCGGTCCGTCGCGCCGGACCGACGGCGAAGAGGACCCACCCCGACTTTCCGAAGCAGATCGCCGACGATGTTGAGAGCGGAGATTCTGGCGGAGGGCGTGAGGGACGAGCTGCCGCAGCCGTTGGGCAATGCTGGCGACACGACGAGGCGACAACAACGACACTTTGAGTGCAGCCCCCCCACAAAGCAACAAACAAACGGTATTTCCATAATAGCACTTGAATGTTGGAGGCATGCAGCATTTTTGGAATCTCAAAAATAGGCCTCCCCCCGCCCCCCCGGAAGCTTTTCTTGAAATGACCCTCGAAGTCCGCCGTTGCCTTTGCCTTTGGCAACCGGTCGAAAACGAAGCGCATCCACGAATGAGCCGGGTCGCGGCAGGACAGAACGGCGCCGCCGCGAAAGCCGGGCACTGACCTCTGGGGCCGATTCCTTCTCGTCCAGCTCGCTCTCCAGGAAGGCGTTTCTCTCGATGGCCTGGTTTAAGCGGCCCTCAAAGTCCTCCAGGGACACGATGGTTGCCCTGAACGGCCCAAAAAAATAAATAAATAAAAATCAATCAATCAAGAATCAGCCGATCTACCTTTTCGAATGTGTTTGTTTTTAACGGTCATTTGTTCGCCTAATCCGTGTTCAATGAAATCTCAATGCGAGTCTCGGTCCTCGGAAAGTCGGCAAAGGGCTGAACCGAGGCCGCCGGCCTCGACCGGTGGCCTCCAACGTGTTGTTTTCTACAAGTGACTCGGCAAGGATGCAAATTTGACGGCCAGGAAAGAGGAGGAGGAACTCGGCGCTCCCCATGGAAAGGTTTTCGATGGCCACACGTTGGCGCCAAAGCTCCACTTCTGGAGGTAAACGCCGGGTTCATTCAAGACGGCGAAATCTCTGCGGGTCGGTCGCAAGCGGGTCGGGGGGCACCTCTTGGCTCTTTCCAGGTCGTCGTTGGCCTGCTCCAGCTTGCGCACGGATTTGTGGAGCTGCTCCTTGACGCTGCGCGTCCGGCCCAGGTCGTCCTCCAGCACGGAGATCTGCTGGTAGCTCTGGGCGTGCTGCTTCTCCAGCTTCTCCTGGACGGACGGACGGACAGCCGCACGGCGGCGGGTTGGCGTCTGGCGGGGACT